TAAAAGCTAAATTCCAATTCGATCTGTGCGTTAGCCGTGCCCTGACTTTGATCAGCCCAGAGGTTGTTTCAGGGTTCGATCTGTGAGTTAGCCTTGCCCTGACTTTGATCAGCCCACAGGTTGTTTCACTGAGGGTTCGATCAGTGAGTTAGCCATGCCCTGACTTTGATCAGCCCAGAGGTTGTTTCAGGGTTCGATCTGTGAGTTAGCCTTGCCCTGACTTTGATCAGCCCACAGAGGTTGTTTCAGGGTTCTATTTATGTGTGTTAGCCATACCCTGACTTAGATCAGCCCACAGAGGTTGTTTTAGGGTATCAATAAGACTCAGTTAGGGTTATAGTTCTCCATGTTTTAACTATACCTTATTATTTTCTCAGGATTAAAAATATTGGTCAGTTCAACATAGCACTGCCCAGCTGCCGTGCACAAGTCGAGCAAGAATCAGCGATGGTTCTACAACCACTAATGGACGTACTGGAAGGAAGGTAGAGTACCACTAGCGTAGGGGACGAGGGAGGGGAGGCACGTGCCCCTCCCCCCTCCCCCTAGGTTTGATTTCGGCACCAAATTTTAAATTTAGTTCCAAATAGTGCAAAGCATTCAGTGCAAGCTTTAGAGTTTGTACTATAGAGCTTAACAGATATTACGATATAACTAGTTTATTAGTGATATTATTATCAATGACATTATCGTTTTTTGCTTCTTTTCTTTTCTAGCTTATCGCTTTGGAATCAGGCTTGTGACAAAGCTGTGCTTAAAAGACTGATGAAGGTATGCGGTCATGCATGTTACAAGGCTTGGAATTAGTCTCATTATTGTAGAGTACAAACACTAAATGTGTGCAATAGTTATCACTATTTAGCAGTAAACAGCACTAATTAAACAAAAGAAAACAATATAATTAGCATTAAAAAAATACTATTTATGTTGCACACTTTTAGTGTTTGTATACTCTATTCAACATCTGTTCAAAAACGAAAATTAATTTGGTATTCGTGTGCTTTCCTCCCTTGCCACCCAAAACATATAGAAGCCCGGTTAAACGAGCAAGAATAGTGTAGTTCTGGTGGGGTATACGGCTGAGTTACGAGGGACCGTAGGCAACCCTGGACGGCAACCGCTAGGTGGACCCCAAGACTTGGTCGACACCTTTATGTTTATGTGCGAGATTTGAAAGTAGAGCAAAGCAGAAACGCGGTGACTTACTTTTTTCTATATGCGTCTCTTCAAGAAATTACTGAGAAAGTTGCTTTTTTGAAGATATAATTATAGAGGATGTATTTATATTCTTTTCCTTCATTGGTCTTAAATTAGCTTAGGAACAACCTGAACTCTCGGTGATAAAACTGATGGAGAGCCTGTTTGGAAGGCTATATTTATTATACCAGAAAAAAGTACCTTTAACACCTAAACCTTGAGGTGACAATCAATTTTACACGGACAGAAAATTATAGGAAATGTGTCTCTTACCACGTTCTTTTAGTAGCCTTGGACATCGTCTTCTTCTTGGCTTGTTCGTTCTTGTAGACATCCTCCAATATACACTTTGAAAGTAAAACACCGCTTCAAAATTTACTCTCATATCAAGTTTATACATCAAAGAAAACATAACATCAACCAGCTATCATACACAGGCATTTATAACTGCAAAAATTAAAGAATAATTTCACCTTTTCTAGAGCAGGCAAAACAACCTGTTTGACCGCCGCGACGCGAGGTTCACGTGTGATGAACGGCAAGAACATATGCTAATTAGTTAACATGCGAATTGACTTCCGGTTGCCGTCTTCCTTGGCCGCGCGCGCCTTCCAAGGTTGTTTGAGGCTTCCTAATACATATTAAGTTTGTATTTGCGTTTATTGCTTGCTTTACTGCTAAAAAAAATTCGGAAGTTTTCGGTGATGTAGTTGCATTTGTGGCGATCTTTAAAACAAATTCGGAAGTTTTCGGTGATGTAGTTGCATTTCTAGCTTTGGCCACTAGACTAAAGTGTGAGACCATATATTGAACAATGACTTCCAAAAGAAGTTCTATAAATGATTCGTTGTCCAAATTCTGATTCTTTCGGGTGGAGGTTTTGAAAATCATTGAGAACGTTTTCCGCTTTATTTGAGCGGTTTTTATGAGCAACTGAACCCAAAATTACGACACAACTTAAAAGCTCTATTCTTCAACTTTTGTACTACTGCTCAGTACGTTGCGTTTTGTTTCAGGAACTTTGGAAATGCGTGATGTTAAACTTTGAAACGATTGTCGTTCTACCGCCACTGGACAACAAGGTACAGTATCCACAAGCCATTCAACTACCAGTAATCGTGTTTGATAAGTGACTTGGCTAATGTAAGATTCTTTCTGGTTGTAAGAGCACCTCTCGTATTTCACGTTCAGGGCGTTGGTGACACAAAAGATTGATTGAAAAAATGAAAGAAAGAAACAACCGTTTTCTGTTCATCCAACGCTTTTTTTCCCTTCAGTTATTAGCCCAGCAAAAAGCCTTACGAATGAGTATAAGCTCAGGGCTTATAACCTGAATTTTACGGCATTTAATATTTTTTTTGTTGTTGTATATTTTGTATTAGGATATCTCCAGCATTTCAAGCGTGGATTCAAGGAATCTAAGCATTCGACAATGCGCAGTTCTTGAAGCTGCGCTGAATACTATCAAGGTACGGTAATCTCTCCCTAATGTTCAATGTTTCAAGGGGATGACACATCAGGGCAATGTTTTGTGCAATGTGTCTGAAACTTTTGTTGCAAGACAAGTTGCACGAGAAAAAGCCTATTGTGAAGCACCAAAAATCTTTGTTTGCCACTCAGTTTTGCCACGATTCGCAAGACGTAAAACCGTTTTTAATTTCTCAAAACGTTCGGAGACAACGCACTTGGAACGCACTTCTTATCGCACCAGAAATTGCTAGACGTAACGCCACGACGAAAGTTATCACAGATTATTCTTACACATTCGAAGCCTTTTTGTTTCATTCGATTGTATTTGCATTCTTTGTTGTTCACGCCGTACGAAGGACTGTTGCACCGATGACTTGTTTTTTGGTAACAAGTGAGACATGGATGATTTGGGGAATTAATAAGATCTTGTCAGTTATTTCTAATGTTCACTCATATGAAACGTTTATATTTGAAAATGGATGTGGCTTTGCACAGACTGAGAGCAGGCGCAGATTGAGGATTTTTTTCTAGGAGGGGGTGCACCATCCAGGATTTTCGTTTTAGGAGGGTTGCACCCTTTGCTTACAAACTCAAACACCAATAATGCATTAGGTTTTTAGCTCACCTGGGGAGAAGGGGGGGTGGGCGCACTCCCCCTGCACACCTTACCTAGATCCAACCCTGGATAATCATCCCTGCATGTAAAATCAACTTTTACCTGTTGTTGTGTCTTCTTTGCAGGACTATTTCTATGGAGGAGGTAGTGGTCTAAGGAAGGCCTTTTTGGAAAGATGCCAGAGATTGCAAGCTTTACGTAATGCTCTCTCACTCTACACTCAAACCACGGACTCACTTATAAAGGAGTTTGTTACTACACAAATCTCACAAGGTATAAAATGTCTGGGAGTTTGTTAGGTTTCTCCCTTGAATTGAGGGTTTTCTCCATGTTCTCCAGTTTTCTTCCCTCCACAAAACTGAACAGGCTAAGTTCCAATCTGTGAGTTTAGCTTTGCCCTGACTTTTAACAGCTCAGAGGTTGTTTAGGGCTCGAACTGTGAGTTAATGCCCTGTCTTAGATCTGCCCAGAGGTTGTTTTAGGGTATCAAAAGGTTTCAAGATTGTATAAGGTATCTTTTAATTTTATCTGTGAGTTACCCATGCCTTGACTTAGATCTCCACAGAGGTTGTGTAGGTATCTTAATAAGGCCATTCCTGGCCTTTAATTGTCAGTACCTTGCCGGTCATTAATATTCTAAAGAGGATACCTGATAGTATGATTATCTCTACAGAGCGACCAGGAATTGACGACCCAGTCGGTGAGGTATCAGTACAGGTGGACTTATTCACCCACCCTGGGTCAGGAGAACACAAAGTTACTGTCAAAGGTCTGTCATCTTTCGTTTAAACATATTTTGCATAAAATGTTAATTGAAGTTTCCAATGTCTGATGAAAGTTTAGCATAAAGCCATGTTTAAATGGATTTCTGAATTCAAGCTGTCATTGGATGGCTTGCAGACACTTTCAAGCTCTGTCATTTGATGGCATGTGGTGTTTCATGTTTTAATTATTTTGTTGGTGCAATTTGACGAAGGAATTAATCCCCAAATGTTTGATTTGAAATTAACTATAATAGTAGTAACAGTGAAAGGCACGCTGTATGTAACCCTTCTTTCTTCATTTTTTTAAATATCTAGTTGTTGCCGCTAAAGACCTTAGATGGCAGTCTACTGGTGAGTTATATATAATTTACCACCATCTTAATCAGTGCCCCCCCCCCCCCCCATGTTTCTTAAAATGTGCCCAGTTTTCTACTACTCCGACACTCTTGATTTAATTTCCTGTGTTTCTGTCTAGGTATGTTCCGTCCCTTCGTAGACGTACATGTAGTTGGACCTCACTTGGCAAGCAAAACTCGTCACCTAGCAACAAAGTCCAAGCGTAACAACTGGTCACCAACATACAATGAAACATTTTTCTTGTAAGTATTCAGATTTTATTCTAACGTTGATAAGATAGCACCGTATAATGTTTTCTGCAAGTTCAACATCAAATCCAAAAGGTGTCCTAACTTTACCAGTGTCATACCCCAGATTTTCCACTCCCAACAAAACCCAACAAATCATCCTTCCCTTCCCTTCCCTCCCCTCCCCTCTAAAATACATGCAACTTAAATCCACCCTTGTACCCCCTGAATGTGCGAAGGCAGCGTTCCTTTAAACTTACTTATTACATTGCCAAAAAATGCCACTTTTTTCTGGCATTACTTCAATCTTTTCAGGGAGCAAAATGAAGTTTGTTCATGGAATCTTTATTACTCCGTTACTATACTTTTTGTAATGATTGCACCAAAAATTCTTAGACATTGCCTATTAGTATGACATCAATTCTGGAACTTTGACACACCTGTCTAAAATACAGTATCTGGAAAAGTTGCAAGGAACATACACCCTTCTCATAATGGCTGATGAACGCACGGAAACGAGGTCACCCAGTCATCTTGCAAGGTTGAGCCAAGCTGCTCATTCAAAATAAAGGCTGTTAGCGCTAATTCAGTTCAAAACAAAGGTCATTTTTTGTACCTATCTTCTCTAAAGTAATTTCATGTAATTTTATATCTTTTATCGTGAAATAATGACTGGGTGACCTCGTTTTCATGCACTTGTCAGTCATTATGAGAAGGGTGTATAGTCTAGTATGGCAACATTTTAACCAAAACTTAATCTTTTTCATTTTATGACAGTATCCTTGGCAACGAAGTAGACCTAGTTTTCTATGAACTTCAAATCACCGTCAAAGACTACTGTTTTGCTCGCATGGATGCCATCGTTGGAATGACTGTTCTCCATCTACGGGACTTAGCTGACTTAGGCTCTTGTGCTTGTACTTCAAATCTGGGACGATCTTTGTACTTGGATTCCACTGGGTGGACCATTTTGAAGATCCTATCTCAGAGAACTAATGATGAGGTGGCAAGAGAGTTTGTGAATCTGAAGTCTGGAAGACGGGCAGAGGGTTTTGACTGACCATTTTCTGCTGCTTCTTGGAAAACGTTTTTAGAATAGAGACTCAGTTTCTCCAATAGACTTCAAGAATAGAAAATGTTCCAGCATTTCATGGAAAATGTCTTTATGATTTATTGATGTGCCGGCCTGTCACTTTAGACCAGCTCAGAGGTTGCTTCAAGGATTGATCAAATTTGAAGGTTTGATGATATTTTTGCACTCATGTTTATAAAAAAAAGGGGTTTATTTGAATGAGGTGAAATAATTGCCACTGATAGACATTTGATTCAACTTTCTAAAGTTTCCGAGAAAGACTAGTAAGGACAAGTCTCCCCCACAGCCGCTTTCAGTGTCGCCACGCAACGCTTTCTCCCCTGAGTAGCTACTCAGGGGAGAAAGCGTTGCGTGACGACACTGAAAGCGGCTGTGGGGGAGACTAAGTAAGGACCTCATGATTCAAAGGATTCTGGGACTGAATTGGGGGATAAGGGACAAAACCTCTACTAACTTATAACCCTACTATTAATAGCAATAATTATTCTGCCTTTACCTTAAACATTAGGAAATCAAAAAGCCAAATGTATTTTCTAATTCTTGTTTTTAAAATTGACATTTTTGGAGATGGATTTTATGCACATTTATATAAATTGTATATTATTTACTCAAGCTCAATATATTATTATTATTATTATTATTATTATTATAAATTATACAGCTTCTCATTAATCCCATATAGGTAACTGTCCAATAGCGCAGCACACTGATTCTAAAAATAGCTTAAAGATTCGGACAAACATTGCATTCTGTTTAACCGCTACGAGGATTATACAAACCGATTTTATTATTTTTACTTAAAGTTACAATAATAACCCATGTAAACTAATATCAACTGCGATCGGCTGTGAAAATTATCTGCTGAAAGTAAACTTGTAAGTTTGTTTGTCCGAATTTTGCCTTTGTCTTCGTTTTTATGACTTCACGGTTGCGCTGCGCTATCATTTTCTTAATTGGACAGGTCTTGGTGATATGGGATTAATTAGGCAGCTATATAATTAATAGGTAATGGGATTTCATGCTCCCCAATCAAGAAATAATTAGACTCGAAAAATTCCTCCGACTGCCAAATTGGCCTCATCCAATTTTGTCAGTCCTCGGAATTTTCCTCGTCCAATTATTTCTCAATTGGACAGCATGGAGTCCTATTACATATACTTATTATTATTAAATTTTGAGTCTCTCTATTAATTTGAGGGTTTTTCTTCAGTTTTGTTCCCTCCACAAACCTAGCATGCTAAATTACAGTTTGATGGTTGAATTAGTTATACCCTGAATTAGATCAGCCAAGACGTTGTTTCAGGGTTTGAAAAGATTGTTGTACACAAGTGTTAATTTTTAAAATTGTCTAAATAAATACAATACCACTTTTGATCCAGAGCCACAGGCAACCTGGAGTGTAAGACTTAAACGTAAAGCTAAATGTTTAAGACCCCAAATTGAACAAAAGAATCTCTGAAGACCCAGTAAAAAGGAATTAAAACAATATTTGCTTGTTCGAAATAATTGATGGTTTTCACGGCGGCTTTGTTGGAAGAACTTAACAAAAGAATTGTCAATAAATTCTTTTGTTATATCCTCCAACTTGGCCACCGTGTCTTTTGTTCTTTAATTCTCTTGGGAATGGTTGAAAACCATCAATATTATGTATACAGTCAATTCAAAAAACGTTGTCGTTGACCGGCTCAAGCATACGCGACTGGACCGAAAGGAATATGGGTAAAAATCACTGAAGCAGTTAAATATTTGTTCTGAATTAATTGTTCCCGCTAGCCAAATAAGATAACAATGGCGAGAAACAATCCATAAAATGCATGTCTTTGGGTTTAGTGAAAGAAACTGACAAAGAAGTTATGATTCAGTTCACAATTTCGAAAATATAAAGGCATTAAAAAAACATCTCCTTCAACATTTCCCGCTCGCCTATGAAGATTCGTGCTGGAGTCAATTCGGATTCAATGATTGCTACCCAGAGTTCCTTTCGGTCCAGTCATGTAGGCTTGAGTTGGTCGACGATAATGTTTTTTGAATTGACTGTATACCTTAACTACGATATGGCAGCTGGCAAGTGTGATGTCCACTTACCACTGAAGTGCCATAGAAGTTATTAAGTTCTTTCATATTAAGGCTAGCTAGAAAGGTTCTTATTATTAAATATTTTTAAGATTATGCATTAATGAATGAATTAAGGATAAATATTTTTCATAAACATTCAATAAACAAGTTTTACCTTAGTTTAAACTTTTGCTACTGGGTTTGCTAGTCAGAGTTATTTTAATGAGCTAGAGGCACAGACAAAAACATGGTGCAATATTGCATGTAATATAAGCCTTTTCATAGTATTGCAGACAATGTTGCTATAAAAAGTAGGAATTTTTTCAACTTCAGCAACACTGTGTGCAACAAATTGCGACTTGTGAGACAATGGCTCACATAATCGATTACCTGTCAAATTGCATGTAATGTTGTAACGTGTTCGTTGTAATGCAACTTTCAACTAATGGCTTTCTATGACAGGGCTTAAATTCGGTATGAGCCAAAATAAATGTGTGGGGGAGGGCTGTCTACAAACTATGAAAAAAATTAGATTTAAAGTTTTAAATAAGGACTTTAAGAATAATTGTAGAATAACTATTTTTCTATGAATTTCTTATCAATTAACTGTAAATAATGTAACCTAGATTCATACCAAGGAATTAATTTAATATAATACTGTGTTTATATCTACATCTTCTGCATACTTTTAAATAAAATGATATTAAACAATATTGTTTGGATTATAATCTCATTTAGGCCCCTGCATATATTGGCAAGGTATCCATGCGTAGCTCTTACAATTTTGGTGCTCCCTGGGGAAAGAAAACAAAGGCTTGCTCTAGACCTCTTCTTAGTTCAATCAATAAACAAGATAGAGTTTGTTTAAGCTTGGGTATAATCAACCCCTGATGATGAAATTTAAATGTCTAAATATGTCTAATTTACAGCCTAATTTACTAATTCTATTTCTGCTTTTTAGAGCATAATGCCACAGTCCCTTAATTAGGTTATTATAATTATTTATTTAGTTGAAAGCTTTATTTGGGAGCCCTTTTTTTGTCGGACAAACAAGGTGCATTCTAGTCTAGCTCGGGTATAAACATTTAACTCCATTATGTCACATTTTTATACCATGTGTATGTACTAAAGCTAGACAAGAATGCACTAAAAATTAAGAATGGTATCTCATAAAGCCTCTTCTTATGAATACCCTTCTTGTTCAAACCTTTACTTTTTTATAAATACTGCAAACTTATGAATTATGATGTTTACCCTGCATTCCAAAGGCTTTCTCCCTTAAGTACTTCTCAGTCAAAGGCTTCATTATCGACCTAGTCCACTCTTACCATTTCAGACCACATGTCATTCCCTAGAGTATTATTTCTTTGTTTAATGGTTGTCCATGAGAAGACGTGAATATATGGGTACAGCTCAAACAAAGAATCTTATCCTCAAGAGAGTGACACAGGGTTTGAAATGGGTAAAATATAACACCCAAGTGGATTTGGTCCATGGTAAGAAAAAGGAAACCCATGAAGGAGAGGCAGCAGAGGAACTCACTGAATCCCACATCATTATATGGTTTGCCACAAACCATAATATAAAATTTTGACAGTTATAGAATTACTCCCATTTTTGATGGTTTAAATGGATAGAGGTAAAATAACAACAGCTGGAGAAGTCCAAGGATGACACCAATGGCATTTGGCAGCTAAAGAGGTAATAAAGAGAAGAGGATTATATAGGAAAACTTCTTATTCTAGTGATTCAATTTATTTTGGTTTTTAAGTAACTTTTTCTAGCCCTTCAACATAGAGCAGTTTTTATATGAATGGGAAGCATCCAGGAGACTTCACTTCTCTCAGCTCATAATATTTTGTTTTGACAAAAGATGGAAGAAAATACTTGGAAATTTTCACTATGACAAACAATGCATTGCACAATAACCATCGTATCAGTAGGAAACTTGCAGTACTGTTTTACAGCACGTACATGTTATGACATACAATAACACTGAAATGGTATCCCATAAGAATAGTAATATCGTATGAGTGGGAAACACGAGACAAAAAACTCTCCATAATGAATCATTAATTACCAACCCAACAACCCAGTTGACATTAAAAATGTCATAAATTTTAAGCACCAAGACTACGTACCTGAATATTACTATCGTCAACTGCAAATCCATAACAGACCCAGATGAAAGAGACTATCGTGATCATTAGGGAGAAAGGAAACTGCATAGATTCTGTACTTTTAGTCCTGAATACCTTGGCCTGAAAAAATGGGATGGAAATGAAATGGGATGGAGATGAAGATGGGTATAGGGGTGAAAAAAGGGGGTACTCCCATGTAAAAAGGGCAGGGATCATCGTCAAAAAACATTAACCCCTAATAAGAGAGAGAAATTTAGGAGTGGTCCTGGTTTAATTTTAGACCTAAAACGTACCACTTTAAAACACAAGATAAATCATTTAAAACATCACTGAGTTTACTGCGACACACTGAAAATGATTGGTGTAATGGTTTACTGATCACCTCTAACCACTGTAGTCTGGGTTCAAGACTTGGCTCAGACTAGATTACATGTGAGTTTGTTTGATGTGTTCTCTCCCTGGCCACGAGGGTTTTCTCTGGGTACTCTGGTTTCCTCACTCCAACATGTGAGTTGATTGTAAAATATAGAATGTTTTGGTGGTACATGAGGAGGGAACCTCACAAAAGATCCCTGTATGGGGAGTGGTGGTTGATAACTGATATCCAGTTTAATGTTTGGGGCCACCAATTATGTACCCATAAAAGATACTGCATGTGCTTAAAACCAACAGCTTTTTCCTTTTTTCATTACTGAAAGAGGAAATGACTTACGATATTAACCCTAAAAAATACAACAATCATCCCTGTCCTTCGTTATATGGAATTACCCCCTGCTGAAAGCTTGACTGTAGCCTTTCTCAACATGTTAAGGATCATCCTGGGTACAGTACCCACACCAACCCCAAACCTTGGTACCTGACGTAATGCCTTGGTCATCTTACCATGGTTGCTAAGGGTGATGCCATCATGGTGATGGTTACAACAGTGCACAGCTTCCCCATCTGATAGGTCCTTGATTTGTTTTCAGTGATGAAGTGCATCATGTATAGATAGACAATTAAGCCAGCTAATGACAGGAATCCAAGGAATTTCATCTGGGTTGTCTAAAAAAGGTAGATAAATAAAAGCTTTCACTGCATTGCTTCAGTAAATACAAGTGATTCATTTACAGAGATTTTCCATCCCCCAAGGTTGGGGATAGTCTAAGGAGTAAATAAATTGTGTAATTCCATAAAATATTTATACCTCGTAGGAATTCTGAAGAGGTAGTGAGGGTCCGAGGAATGCATATTACTTTTTATTGTTTTAAAATTCATCCACACATACCTACAGGTCCCATCCCCCTTGGAGTAGGACTGAATTTTCAAAAGGCATGGAGAGGGTCTGAGGAGGGCACATTGCATTCCAGAAAATACCCATACAGTACCTCGTCCTTGGCTAGAAATGAGTGACAGAATTTTACCCCTGGATTCCCGAGGATGCCTCCTTGGTGGAGAAACTACAATTTTACAGGGGGTGGGGCGGGGAGGACTGTCTGGAGGGTTAAGTCACTAAATGAAAACTACATAAATACAATTATTATACAATTATTTTGATTTTATATCATGGATTTAATATTTGATGTGCTCTATCATATTTTCCCAATAAAACGTTCATAATCACATCAACAGAATTATAGTTTCAAATTTACCTTGTGGCTCGTGAAGTACAAGAAGCATAGAATATAGATTATCTGGAGGCTCGCTCCAACAGAATTGACAACCATCAATGTCGAGTCTGATTTCAAGACACCATAGGTAGCCCATAAGAAGCAGCTTGATGATGAAGGGACATTAAAAATATTAATAATAGTCCCCTTCACAGTTCCCTGCGCCGTGCCTTTGCATCGTAGCGAGATGAACAGTGAGCTTGCAATGATAGAGTCATATGAATAATTGCCCAAGGTGTTAAAAAAAGGTCTCTATCATTGCAAGCTCACCAATCGTCTCGCTTCAAGGCAAAGGCACGGTTACCTTTCAAGATGGCATAGGGAACTGTGAAGGGGGCTATTGTCAATACAAAGTTTGCAATTTCTTAATGCCAAGACATTTTAAATTTTACTCCCAATGAAATCTGCAGACCCAATCTTTTGCCCCTGCCTGGTTTTCTCTTTAAGTGATAAAGCACTTTAATGCCTTTTTGATTTCCTAAAAAGTTTGTGAGTGTTATAATTAAAAGTCCTTTTCAGAGGAGCATTCAGGGTTATTCCTTTATGCATTGCAAGTGAGATATACCTATTTCAAATAAAGTTGTCATCGCGATAGGCGATAGGCAATAGGCGAAAAGCGATAGGAAATAGGTCTATCCAAGATCCAAGAATAGCTGGAATGACTTGTGTTTCTGCTTCTTATTCTTGTCAAGAACATGGACCTTAGTGTTGAGACTGATGCAATGATCTTTGTATTCAATGAAACCATTTCCATGTGGAATGACCTAGTATCGCCTATCGCCTTTCTTGAAATAGGTGTATAACACTTTTTACTTAAACAGCTGAAATTAATATTTTCGAAATAAAAAATAATTAATTGTACTTGAATAGAGCGTATGTCACCGTTTAGCGATATACATTTTCTATATTCTTCAAGAAATTTGGAGATACTTGTCCAACTACTGGAGTTCTTTGGAGTATTTTCAGGTTCAGTACAGGTCCTACAAAGGACTACTTTTATTTGCCAAATTCTTCAAGCATATTTCTTGAATATTAGTATTAAAAGCAGCAAAAGTCTCATTGTAAAAAGATGCACAAAGAAGCCAAAGAAAACAAAATAATAAGCTTGCAAATGCACTTCGGATAGCCCCGGTTCCTTCTCTGAGTTATTTTGAATAAAAAAGAAAAACCATGGCAACAGGCTGTGAAATAAATGAGTGCTGCAACTGATGAAAAGTATATACCATTCTGTTTTCCACTGACTACCGAAACATGCCAGCTTTAATTCTGACCAAACAAAATAACTTGTTGGTCATGCATGAAAAATGATAACTCCTATAATAATCTTGTAAAGCATTGAAGCATGTTACTTACTTGGCTAAAGTTGTAACAAATGGAAGAAATTGGATATTTTCTGTACTTCTTTTCTCCACCATTGACCTACATGTTATGCTGGATAGAAAGAGATTGAGCATATGTCACTATTTCATTATTTTAAGATATACAGCATTTTATTTTTCCCGACATTGGTAGAGCACAAGAGTTAGGATCGAGAAGCATGATCAGTAGTGGAGAGCTTCTCGACACTTCTCAAGTGTTCTGCCATTCTGCTACCCTGGGTTCCTGAGACTTTAAGGAGTTGACACCCTCAAAGCCTCTGGAACCCAGGGTACCAATCCCCAAGTGCTTTAAAACTGCAAACCACATGCTCACTGCACACTGAGGAAGTTTTTCTTCCTTTTATAAAAAGTTCAAAAATAAAATACAGCCCTTCTTTGGATACAATCTTGTATTTAAGGCACTCCCCACTCCCCCGAAGTAAAAGCACAATTATTTATAACTGTTGTTTTATAAACACAAATAATATGCAACCCTTTCTTTTGGGTCTTTCTGCATCTATCGCAAATCTATTTTTGTTAGCTTAACATTCTATAACTTGGGATCTTTTGTTTTTTCTATTGAATTACATAAATTGTGTGCAGTATCTGAATATAGCCCTTCATTCATTTGCTTTCAGAATTTTTTAACAAGAATCCTAAAGAATTAAATTAAATGGGAAATGGAATGTCAAATATTTTGCATTGCAAAAAGGGATTTGGTCTGTACTGGGGCTGGGATTTGGGTTATCAAATATGCAAAATGAATGACTAGCCTGTGATTCATTACAAATTAAAAATTCATCACTAGTATCTCGGTTGGGGGTGATTTTGCTGATACTGAAACTGTGAAAACAGTGAAAAGGAAAATAGGAACGGGAATTAATATCCAACCATTCTACAGTATATTGCTAGTAAACTACCCACAAAGTTCAATTGATAACTTTATAAATCTTCCTTCTATTTTTAACTGTAAAGATTATCCTTTCAAGTCAATATTTGCCGTTCAACTTTAGCGGATCAGGATAATCAATTTATAATTAATAAGCTTGTAAAACTTTTTTGGAAATATTTTTGAAATTTAATTATATACTCACAATCCAGAGAGGAAAAATCCGATGGTAAGAACCGTAGCCAGCCAAGAAAGGAACCAGACGAGCATCGTGAATATATTTAGGTCTTATATATGAGGATTAAGGTACAAGATAAAGGGATTTCTAAGAAAACAAATGAAATCCTTTGATGAATGTTTTTCGACAAAACTTGATCAAAACAAATCAATACGTGTCGTGAGCCCGCGATCATGCCACCCCTGTACACAGGAAGCCCAATCCATCAAAAGCGCTTAATAATGTGGTGTTATGCGTGGGAATGTAAATAGCGCAGAGCAACCGTGACGTCATAAAAACGAAGACAAAGGCGAAATTCGGACAAACAAACTTACAAGTTTACTTTCAGCAGATAATTTTCACAGCCGATTGCAGTTGATCTTAGTTTACATGGGTTATTATTGTAACTTGAAGTAAAAATAATAAAATCAGTTCGCATGATCCTCGTAGTGGTTAAACAGAATACAATGTTTGTCCGAATCTTTAAGCTATTTTTAGAATCAGTGCGCTGCGCTATTGATTCTGGGATATTTGAACTATTGGTTCACATAACATAATTACGAGAGGTCCATCAAATCCCCAACATACACCATAATTAATTAATCTAGAACAAGTCTAGCCACAAGAATCTCAGACGTACAAAAAATTGCAACTTTATTCATTATATGTGGCTAGCTTACACAAATTCACTTCTTAACCAATACTTTTAGTAAAACCTATTGAAATACACCAGCAAAAAGAAATCCATCCAATACATTGTAAAATATAGTTTAGGAATTTCAAGCTGAAATTAAGAGCATAATTTAATCAGCTTTCTTGGCAGCAACTTGCTTGGATGGGAATACCAGGAACATTGACAGCTGAATTAGACCTAATAGTACTCCTGAAATATTTGGGGCCTTAAAAAAAAAGGAAAATTGAATTAGAATAAATTGTTATTTTGTTACAGAAATCTTTGCACTCTTCAACAAAGGAAGGGGGGGGGGGGGTAATAAAAAATAAAGGAACAGAAGGGTGTCAACAGGATGTCAGGTGTTGGGATTAGGTGACACTCTACCAACACAGATTTTGGGATCACATTCTTTATTATTTTACTATTATTTTCTGTTGGGTGGGATATTCCTTAGACACATCATAATGAAAGCCTTGGATGTGATGCGACCACTGGAGCCAAGGCTAACCACCTTCGTACAGATGGAAGGGCCTCAGGGTAAGCTGTCAATAAGGGCAATAAGAAAGAATGATGAAAATGAAATCTCCCATTCAATAAATAGACCCTCAAAGCCCTTACTAACCAGTAGAAATTCAGCCATTTTTTTGAGAAGGGTGTCATAACACACTGTGAGACCCTAAATAAGGTGAAACAGGTGGATGAAATACGTGGATGGAAAATGGAAAAACCCCAGTCCCTGCCCACCCCTATTCCCTGCCCCCCCAATGTGCCGCTATGCAAGCTAACTTAAATGCCACTTTATGGCTATTTGTAAGAAAATTTAAACTCTAAATTTACCATGATAGTAGAATCTTGTAGTACGAAGCCATAAGTGAACCAAATAAGTGACACAACAGTCATCATGAGACTGAAGAAGTATTGCATTGTTTCTGTGCTTTTAGTCTTCAATACTGTCACCTTTATGCATGCAATTCAAATTATTAATAATTGAATCTTAACTATGAATTTTTCTAAATTTCACATACAAAGGAAGGAAAGATGATGTGTGTTAAATGCTAATATGCTGCCTCTCAAAGTTGCTTGTTGGTATCGTGTTTTGTTTTGAGGATTTTCTTTATCTCTTTATCACACTAAGGTTCAAGTTCCAACATTTCATTTGTAAATGAGGGGCTAGCATTCCATTCAAGAGGTGGTGGGAGCTAAGGATTGGCCAACCAATGGCCAGCATATGGCCGATTGTCCACTATCACGTGTTGGTTAATAAATTAAGTATCCTATAAAACTTTATTTGGACAAAATCTTACCCACTCTTCAATTAAACTTTTAATCCCTTTAAGTTTCTACTCTAGGCTACTTTCTCTGACAAGTTAAATTCAAATGTGTTCTTTTAGACTGATTCCATAAGTTGTAGTTTTCATTTCTTTGTTCCTGGTGTGATCGCTCAACTAACTTGTGAGCGACAAAAAAAAAAAAAAGAGAGCAAACTGGGACCGACTTATGGAATCAGTCTAGTGTTCTTTATAAATCATGGATTTTGTAACAAAATTTAAAGCCATAAGCCATACCACAGTAAAAAGTGGAGAAGCCTGCATTAACATAGTAGTGATGATACATGCCAATCCAAGATAATCTGCCCTGACTCTCTTGTCCTTGATGATACGTGTTAGATAATACTCAATACCCATAGCAACTGCCATGGTTAGTATCACTAATGTAAACTGTCGGCTCTGAAAAATAATGTTTAACAATGAATGTTAAAAAACTTATGTTGGCTTTTGATCATAGTCTATCAAAGTCTGTTAGATAAAAAAGGAGTCGCAATCATTTGTATACTTTATTGGTGACGAGTGTGATCATTTTAAATTTAATATAGTACTTTGTAACTGTTGTTTGACAATGTGTGTTTGAAAGCTTTCTTAGTAGTAGTAGTATTTATGATTGTACTTATGCAAGCCTTGCATTAAAATGGGGGGCGGAAGGGCCATCAAGGACCTTTAAGGTCAGAATAGTCACATTAAGTGGTACAACAACAGAATACACTCAATTGAAGAATCGTTGTAGGGTTCAGAAACATAGAACATAAAAGCTGAGACCGAAATGGCACATGGAAATGACATATTTATATTATAATTTATTCATTTGCGCCATCCATGCGGTTGGTTTAGGATGCCAAACGCGTATCAAAAACAGTGGATGATGCCACGGGTCGCCAGTCACATGCATATAATGAACGTACATCCCATGTACCATTTTGGTCTCAGCTTATCTATGTTCTATGTTTCTGAACCCGACAACGATTCTTCAATTGAGTTTATAACATGAATAAATCATGCATATTTGAATAGACTCCATGCAGTACATCAGAATGCTGCCCATTTCAGAGGGCAACACAATAGGTTTTCAATTCTCAGGAGATTGACATTCTTTTGTTTTGTCCTCCAAATTGAACTCCTTTGACATCACATGCAAGGGGTCATATGAAGCTTATTTAGTTAGTAAATATCTACCTTGTTGTTGCTGTAACTAATATAGCAAACCATATAAATGGCTGATAAACCCAGTCCTGCAGCATTTACAAACTTCACAGTTGGATCTGCCTTGATGAAGCCATAACATAACCACAGACCACAACTTTGAGGAGAAAACTAAGTTAAGCACATCTTCACGTAATAAGGCAGCAGAATTAGATTACAAAATATATAGTATGTATCATCATATTAATACTGGATTGGGCTTTTGCATAAATTTTTCGTACCCCATCCCCTGTTGAGGACCTTGGAATTCTTCAGGGGTTGAAGGTGTTTTAGTGATGTAATTCTTCAGGGGTCAGGGGTTAGGGGTGTTTTTGTGTTTTTTTTGGCTGTGCTGGGTTGAGGATCCTGATTTCACATGTACACTGTATTCTTCAGAGGTATTAAGTCATAAATAGCAGGGAATTCCAAAGGGATTTTCATGTCTCCAGGTTCTCAATGGTGGGGGGGGG